ATCATGTTTATTTAATATATTTATTTAATATATTATTATTTAACATATTTAATAATATTATGTATTTAATATAATATTATTTAATATATTTAATATATTATTATTTTTAATATTATTACATGTTTTTAAAAATTAAATCACCAAACGCAGTTTCAATTTTTTTTAAAACTGAAATCAATCTCTGAATAAAACTACTAAACGCATTTTCAGAAATAATTCCAAAATGAAAATAAAAATATTTTCATTTCCATTTTTATACAAAAAATAAAATCATTTTAGAACCAATTCCAAACGCACCCATATATTTTTTTTTTCCAGAATTAGATAAATGCATTTTTCGGTGAAAAGTATAACGTTTTGTAATTGTCTTCTCCTTTCACCCCCTAAATTCATTTGAAGCAGCAAAAATAATCCAAAAGGGGCAACAAAACTTTAAAAAAAGAAAAATAATAACGATAAAAGTCTAAAGCATTATTTATTTTATTAATTTGAGTTTTTAATTTTAATTTAATTATAATTAAAAGTCTTATAAAAAAATCACATCTAATTTTTTTTACTACAGTAAAAAATTATCAAATAAAATTACATATCATCTAAAATTAAAAACTCAAATCAAATTTAAGACTTCTATGAACAAAGCCGACCCGACAGCATAAATTGCAATTGAAAGTAGTGAAGAGTCAATGCCTATCACACGCATTAATCTAAATTCAAAACTTGGGCCATGAACACAGCTTTAGACAATCACGGGCGCGCGTCCATGCTTCCAACAAATCAAGTCGCCGCAAAATAGAAAGGAAAAAAAAGTTTTGTCCGGGTTCTGAAAAGATCTAATCGTTCATCAAATTCAGAAAAGAAAAGGAAAAAAATTAAGTGGCCCCCACACAGGAGACCCCACGATTGCAACGACCCACGCCAATCCACGTGGGATGAGCAGTACCGAAGCGATTATCTATGAAAGCTTACTCGGATTCCGCAACCACCGTACATCACATATATCGGCAAACCAAGAATATTACAGCGAAACGTGATGCGAAGCACGCGATAATATATAATACCACATGAACAAAAAAAATAAATAAAACTAAAAACACAAATTATGGAAAAAAAAAAAGAAGAAAAAAAGCAACTAACTCGCTCACTCACTGTCCCTCACCATTGCTGCTAAAATGCGCAGCAAGCTCACCACTCACTTCACAAACCCGTAAATTAAATAAATTAAATTCGACATAAAAGATAAAACTCTCTCTCCTAGCCCGAAAAAAAGAAAAAAAAAAAAGGAAATGACGAAAATATAAATCAAAGGAACGTGAAATTACGATTTCAGGACAAGACGACTGCGGAAACGACTGCGGCAGAGACAGTTAGCAGCGCCGTCAGCAATGCAGGTGCTTCCACGTGACCAGCCCTGTTCGCCGACTTGCTGTTCGCCGACTCCGCCGCCGGACCGTCCGCTGGAGCTTCTCCGGGAGTCTCCGTCGGCGGCGCCGGAGGGGAAGCGGCGAGAGGAGAGGGAGCCTCGGAGACCGGAGCCGGAGCAAGAACCGGAGTCGGTGACGGCGAGGAAACCGGCTCCGGCGTCGGCGCAGGCGATGGCGATTTGCCGAACAACTCGGTCGGGAGGAGCAAGTTGTCGACGGTGAAAATAACGAGCGGGGTTGAGTCGAGCACCGTGTCGGCGACTCTGGACGAATCGACTCCCGTGTGGAGAGTCACCGAGTCGCCGGCGGTCGTCACCGTGATGTCGTACTTCCCGGCGCCGTTGGTGGCGAGAGTGGTCAATGAAGCGGTGGTGGTCTTCAGAGAACCCTTGGGAGTGTAACCGGCGAGGGAGTGATAGAGTAAGAGCGAGACCAGCTCAGCGTTGGTGAGCTTGTTCAGATCTGGAACTCCCGGAGCCTTAAAGGCCTCATCGTTCGGCGCAAATATAGTCAATCCCTTCTCAGCCGCGGACTCGTAAGTCTTGATCACGCCGCTCGAGGAAATCAACGACGCAAACTTCTTGGCGCCGGCTTTCTCAAGCAATGCCGTAATGTTAACGTCGGAAGCCGACGGAGCCGGAGCCGTCAGAATCCCGGTCGCGATGATCGGCGCGCTGATCTCGAGGACGGAGATGTTGTAAGGGATCTCCTTGACTGTCTTGGTGTAGGTGGAGTCGAGCTTGGAGCCTTGAGCCGCGGAGCCGAAGCCGACCTTGCCGCCTTTGAGGTCGGTGATGTTGATGGATCCGAGGTTGCCGGGGGCATTTCCGGTAGTTTGGTAAAGAGTGGTGGACAAGGTGGAGCCGTCTGGGAGCTTGTGGAGCTTCTGAGCGTCGAAGTAGTCCAAAACGATGTGGAGGCTGAGAACCTTCTTGAGGACGGAAGCGGGGTGTTTGGATGCGAGGGCAGAGAAAGCGCCGTTATTCAGGACAAGGACGGTTACGGTTGTACGGCTGTTGATTTCATCGGCAAGCTTGGTTTGGGTAAGGTATTTGTTATAATCGGAGTAGTCGGGAAATTCCGAAAGAATGGCGGTGATGTTGTGGGCCGAAACGACGGCGTTTAGGGCCAATATACTCAGGCAGAGAAAGACCAAACTCTGGTTTAATGCGCCCATTGTGAAGAGAAAAACGGTATAGTGGTAAACTAAACTAAGCTGGTGTGTGTGTTTTTTTGCAAAGAGCGAAAGGGGGAGAGTGGGGGAGTGTCAGATAAAGAGGAAGGAGAGTGGGGTTTAACTAGGGTTAAGGTTTGTGGGGGTTTAAGCTAACCATAGTTAAGGAAGCATTAACTGGGGTTAAGAAATTTGGTGGAGGAGGGGGCCATATGAGGGGGAAGGATGTTCTTGTTCACAGCTGGAAATGGAAAGGGCTTTATATGTGGCATATGCTGTTGGCTTCTTTAATGGCTCTTCTAGTTTCAGTTCCTTTTATGCGGTGTGAAATTACGGATATGGCCTTGGTTTTTTGGATTATTGCCGTGATGAACAGCTATGCCTATGATGGAATTGGAAATTTCCTTCTTGTAACGGTTCTAAACCTCAGGTGAAAAGTTGAAATTGGGTGGGGGTTACTTGAGCAATATGGTCAAACGTATGGTTAAGTTAATTTTTATCCCTAAGAAGATTGGGAAATTAAAAAAAAAAAAAAAGGCAAAAAAGCGTTGATAATTTTGTTCAACTTTCAAGTTCAAACAAATAAGGAAATAACACCAAGCCCTCTTTGCAGTTTGCTTTGTTTTTATTTTTCACATTTTTTGAGGAAAAAAAATAAAAATAAAAGAGAAATAACGTTTGATACAATTAAAAATAATTTTTTAATTTAATATAAAATGAGAAAAAAATAAAAAATAATTTATAATCATTTTTTTATTTTTTATTTTATTTTTTCTCTCTCGAGCACACAGAGAAAGACATTAATTAATTTTTTTATACTAAAAATAATCTCTTAATAAAATTATTAAATATATTTTTAAAAATATTTTTATTTTTATTTTCATATTAAAAATAAAATCATTTTAAACGAGGCACCCCAATAGTTTTCTATAGAGCTACTAGCCGTTTCAACTTTTTGGCTGGGTCCGTGCATGGGACGCAAGCACACACAATCATGGTTTGCCCTGTGGGAGAGACATATTCCCTGGATTCCCATCTCATAATATTTCTCCTTAATTATGAAGATAAAACAAGAGAGTTTAACTGAAACTCTTTTTTTGACCAATTAATTTTGCATAACCCTGCTGTCATTTAGAAATAGAAAGCGTGTTTTCGAGCAAGCTTTTGGTTTTATTTAATTTTTTTTTTCTTATGTAGGAGAGAGATAAGCAATTTGCCCTTAAAAAAAGAATAGCCAACTATGTGATACACTGCACTAAATTGTTTCCCAAAGAAAAATAGTAGCGGCCATACTGCCAGGTTTTTCTTTTTGCTGAAGAGCAAGGGTTGAAATAATGGCACTAGTACTAATTATGCATTTTATCTTATGTTTCTGAATTCCATAAATGAAATAAGATATTGCACCAAAAGCTTGCAATCCTGATATTTGCTTTATGGAATTGGTTTTCAATAAAGCGCGTTTACTAATAAGAAATACAATTTCATAAAAAAAAAAATTAAATTCTCAATTTTAAATTATTGTGTTTACTTTTACATTTAAAATTAAATGGAGTGCATTTCATCTACAAATAAATAATTAAGTTTCTTCATAAGAATGAACTTATATCACACCTCTTACCTATAGAATTTAATTATTTTCCCTAAAAATAGGAACTATCTAAACTTATTTACACCCTTACTTTAATTTAATTAGTTACTTCATATAAAGGCATTTTTCTCCTATTCATTCTAATTTCTTAGCAAAGTAAACAAGGCAGTAGGAATTTTATTCTTCATGTAATTTTATTCCCTAATATATTAGTAAACACAATAATGGAATTCTAGAACTTAATTTACTTTTCTTGGAATTTATTTCCTATTCTTTCAAGTACTGATTAGTAAACGTGCCTTCGAGGAAAAAATAAAAAAAACAAGTAGTTTTACCCAAAAAAAAAAAAAAAAAAAATTCACTAACATCCTTCACTTCTGTCATTATTACAATGGCATCCTTTTAATTGAACTTACTTACTCAAAGATACCTAAAATAAAATACACCCTGAAGAACAACTAAAATACACAAACTAATAAAAAAAAGTTATATCCACTAAAATATGAATGAAATATTAGGGGCGAACTTTGGTTTTACCAATTTTTTTTGTTTATTTTATTCTCTGGAGCAATTTATCTTCTTAAGCATTTCATTTACAATTTCTTTGGGGTTATTTACTATTTTATTACTTTGCATTTTGAACTTTTGAGGTTATAAAAAATAAATATCATGCACTTCGGATGTTCTCTGAGGTTGCACCTCTAAAAATTTCAAAATCAGGTTAAATTTATTCTTTTTCTTTTGTTGGTAGCTAATTTTGACCTGGGTAAAGTGCATCCATGCACCTAAACTTTTTGACATTGGCATGTTGTATTCAAAACTTTTAATTTTGACGTTAGGACACTAAAAAGACGTTTGGTTTATGGATTAGAACCATGTGATTAAAATTATTTTTGATTTACGTGTATTTTTTGTGAGAAAAAATACTGTAGCGAATCACGAACCATGATTCGAATCAGGGAACGAATCTAGGTACCAAACATCCTCTAAATTTGATAATTGTGGGAATGTGATAAAATCAATAACAATAAACGTCAACTAAAAAAATTAAAAAGCTCAAGGTCTAATCTTCAAGTTAACAAAAACTTTGTTTACATTTGTGCAAAAATCTCTAGGCATTTCTACCAATAATTGTTGTCCCCTAGCTATTGGACTAGATTTTTAAATTAAGATCCCATTTGTCAAAATGAAATGTTCAAGATCCAAATTACTAGACATCAATAAGTTTAAGACATCATCGTGTAGCTAACTAAGAATCATGCGTTATGTTCAAAAATTAAGATTTTTTTTTAAAAAACTTTTTGAGAACTTTTAAGCTAAGTTGGAACTGGAAATGGTAAATTCGTCAATTAGTATTTAATTAGAGGTTCATGTCTAAGCCTCAAAGGTTAAATTCATCAATTTTGAGATCAAAATTAGTCCATGACTTAAAAAAGGTACAAATTTGAGATGAATTCAACATTCCAACGCATAATTTGGAAAATATTGATAGTACATGGTGTATTTTTTTTTTTTTTTTAGAAACAAAATATGAGGTATAGAATAGTAAATATCCCCCCTTTTTTTTTTTTTAATAATTTTTCTCTCTAGGCCCATTTGTTTTTGACAGCCTGTCTGCTATGTATGTAATAGGATCATTGCCATTGGAATCGTACATTTTCCTTATACACACAAGCTTCTGCGCACGCTGCAATTCAATTGTTTGGCAAATCATGAGAAAGTATTTTGACGTTGCACTTAGTGCCATATCCACTGCCTCAATGCCCCATCGGAATGATCATACATGATTATGGATGCGGCTTTTTTTTTTTTTTTTTTTGGAATGTGCACAATTGTGATGGTTATGATGGAGAATGCATGGAGGTATACGTCAAAATTTCTTCAAAAGCTAATAGGACACCGGAGATAAGAAAAATAATATAAACTCATAGTGATAAGAGTTTTGATGAATGAAGTAGATGGTGGTTCTTGCAGTCATATTCCTTAAAGACGTATTATGAAATGGCCAAAATACACTTTTTTTTCCCCTAAGAATCCAGTCTGCCTTAATTCTCAAGCAAGAGCATGCCTTTCATCCACTAAATTAAGGTATTAGTTCCATTTTATCTTTTTTTCTTTATGAGAATTTTGCCTTTTGGGTTGAGAGAAAAAGCATGCCAATCTTTGTGCACAAGTTTCCCTTCGTCCGGAATAAAATTATAAGCCCTTTGCTTTGAGACAAGTTGTCAAAAGGACAAATATTGATTTATTAAATCAAATGTTGCAAATCACTTGATACACATTGTTTTTTCTTCGTAGATGTTAGAAAAATGCAATTTGGGACCATGGAATTTTTCATGGCTGGGATCAATAAGGTTTTGTCGGCAGCCAATATTACGCCAAATGTTGCGTAAATTATAAATGGTTGAAATTGTCAGATTAATTTCCACAACATGCCACGTGAATCTTTGCCCCATTAACCAATGAATCACGCAAATGGTCCTCTCTTTGTTTGCTTGTCAATAGGTAAACAAACATAAGGGTGAACAAATTGTGAGATCTAGAAAGTTCTTCAACATGCCCATACCAATAACAAATTCAGCAGTGATTATGGACATCAGATCGGCAACTTAGAATAAAGGCTTGGATTAAGTTAGTTCTAGGACTCGTTCTTTTTATTGGTTTTTCTTACAAAATTTAAGGACCCGTTCATTTTATCGTTTTAAGTTTAAAATTTGAGTTTTGTTACAGTAAAAAACTCTCAAAAACAGTCACATCTAACTTTTTTACTACAGTAAAAATTATTCATATAAAGTCGTATCTCAATTCGAATTAAAAACTCAAATCAGCGAACTAAACGCATCTTAAATTTTAGTTCACATTTTGCATTCATAATTATATGCAATTATTGCATTTGACACCACTAGGGGATTACAATTTGTTTCTAATGTTGCACTTGAACTATCACATGGTCAACGACTTAAATGTTATTACGGCCTTGTCTTTTTTACAATTTAAATTTTTTTACGTAAAAAAAAATACTACAATAAAAAAGTTGAATTTGAATTGCAATAAACACTATAATATACTAGTGTGTTTGAAAATCCAAGTGCGCCAAAGCTATTGTTCTGATATTGCAATCAGGATCTCTACAAAATGCTAAATGGGAAAGTTTAGGAATACACAAAACAGTTTTCAATGCCAATATTATTAGTGAAAGAAAAGTATGGGACCTAAAAGGGATCAAAGAATGTACAATGGTACTCAAATAGTTCCAACTAATAAACCTACCCCTTCTCTTCCTTTTAAAAGCAGATCCATTTTTCAAGACAGAAAAAAATTGATTCGTATGTTTGCCCATCTTTTAGAAATTGTTGCTGTATGAACTAATCCCATTTCCTTTTTGATGTCTAGTAAGCTCATTAATAGGACAAATTGTCCCATTAGTAAAACGTTGTGGATAAGTTATATCAAATTAGACTAGACGTTTTGACGTTTTGTTGTGGATAAGCTATATTGAGGTAGACTAGGCTTTTAATTGACGGCGTATTAGAGTGTTTAGTAGATAGATTTAAAATTATGATTTTAAATCTTAGTTTAGAATTAGTGTCTTAATTGTTTGGTTGTTAGATTTATGTCATAATTTGAATC